TACAGAAATATTAATGAATACTGATTTTTATGAAATATCTTTTCATTGCTTAATGTGGCAATACTGCTTGTGCGCACCCAAAATCGACAATCTTCTGAATACATGAACCTATCCTAAAGCTTCCTGGACGTGAACATAGTCGTTATATATCTGTTCTTGATTATTTTGTCTTTTTTGTTTTTGTTTTTCTTCTTGAAGAACTACCAGCGGTAATTATGATTTGGCATATTCTGAAGCTACTAAATAGATGAAGCGGTCGAATTTTGACACTGTCCCAACGTGGCCGAATGCAGGCAGAGTCCGAACCTACACCTTTGGTAGTACCTTGAGCCGAGAAAGGTGGAGGACTGGGTGGTTAATGGACGTGGAAAATGAGAAGACCCATCTGACTTCTTTATATTTGTAGTCGAGCAATTCACTTTGGAAGGGTTCGGAACCACCAACAGCCATTACCACTATTAAGTTTAACAATGGTCTTCACGTACTAGGCCGCAACCCATACGGTCCCTTTTCTTTCGTAGGTTTAAGCCGAGGTACTTGTTGCATTACAAGTGGTTCTTCTTCCTCATGGGCGCTCCTGTGTTGGAGTAGAACGCCTGGTGCAACGCAAAGACGAGTTTTCCATGTCGAGCTATCATACTTTATGTGGTTTTCGCACCACATGCTTTTTGTGCCTGATTAAAATTGATTAGCCTGTGCTTTTCCTCAGGTTCGTGGGAGTCTGGCTCTCACAATGGGAGAGACCCAGCAAGCGAACCTCTCTTCCGGTGACGCGAACCAAGAATTTGTGATTGTGCAGGAAGGAAAGGCTAAAGTCGGATTTCATGGACCGGTCTTCTACAATCCTGTTCAAGAGTTCAACAGAGACTTAACGTGAGTTATTTTCACCTTCTTAATTCAGGGAATGACTCGGCATGTTCGAATGTTCATGGTTTTTGCAGTGTATCAGTCCTTCGCGAGTTTGTTAGGTCTCGGTTAGCAAATGGTTCTACCCTCGAAAGTAAAACATGTTCTGAAGAACCAAAACCTAAGAAATCAAAGCCGCTCTTCGAAAAGGAGGTTTGTTTGTTTACGAGGTAAATTTAGTATTTTCCTGAAGTGCATCTACCTTTATAGGATGGCTCAATCAGAATTCTTGATGCTTTATCGGCCAGTGGTCTGCGAGCTCTACGGTTTTCACAAGAAGTACGGTTTTTCTTAAATATTAGCCACTTTTACTTCGA